GGTTTCCTTGAAAAGCCCTCTCTCCTTTCATCCTTTTCAACGCGCACTGCCCTGCTATGCAACTTTCGGCGAGTATAATACTCCTCAGCTAACTCAGCTGCCTTATTTAACTGTACTTCCCCAAGTCTGTCCTGCAGCCAAAGTTTGACATCCTCCTCGATGCAGCGGTAGAATTGCTCCAATGCAACGCATTCCACCACTTTATCGCGGTCGTCATAAACACCTTCGCCCTTGAGCCATTCAATCAAATCGGCTTTAAGACGAAATGCGAAGTCAACGTGTGACTCATTCCCCTTTTTAGCATACCGGAACCTTTGTCTGAAAGCCTCGGGTGACAACTTATAACGTCTTAAGAGCACTTCCTTAACCTCGTCATAGCTCTCAAACGCTTCCCTCGACAAGCAAGTTATCGCGTCGGACACTTCGCCGGGAAGAAGAGCTAGCAGGTTCCGCGCCCAAAGAGACTGCTCCAAAGCATTTCGCTCACAGACGTGTTCAAACTTGACGAGATACTTCGCCATGTCCTCGCCTACTACGAACGGTGGCAGTTGATCCCGAATTCTAATACCGCTGACCTGAATCGTCGGAGAAGCTGCGCTAGGCGCCTGCGAACACTGTAGGATTGCCAATTCTATTCGTTTCATCTCGAGGCGCTCCTGTCTCTCGGCCTCCTCGCGCTCGCGACGTTCGCGCCTTTCAGCTTCTTCACGTTCGCGAGCTTCTCGCCTTTCAGCCTCTTCACGTTCGCGAGCTTCTCGCCTTTCTTCACGTTCGCGAGCTTCGCGCCTTTCTTCACGTTCGCGAGCTTCGCGCCCTTTCAGCCTCCTCACGTTCGCGAGCTTCTACTTCTCGCCTTTCAGCCTCCTCACGGCGTGCTTTGATATCCACCCAGGCCTCATCGACTTCCTCAGCCGACACTCCCTCATCTTTCATGATCTCAAGGATCGCTTGCTTTCGTTTCGCACGGCCCAAAGTAATGCCGAGTTCCTCACAAATTTCGATGAGTTCCTTCACTTTAAGGTTCTCCATCGTTCACACTAGCCTCTTGCTGTTTGCCCCTGTTAAGAATCTACTTGCCGTACCCACTATAAGCCTACTAGCAAGACGCGCAAGCAATTTTTCACACTCCCGTGTTTACCCCCTCCGCATTAACTTTGGTTTCAAAGCCCTTCGACTTGGCTTGAAACGATCAAAGCTCACTTCAATGCTTCACACAGCCCTTCTCTAAACTACTACAACCTGAGCTAGAGTAGTCTGGTGAACTGAGGGGAAAACATCAGGCACTCACCGCATCGATGTCGCTGATGCCGGCCGATCCCGCAGCTGCCAACCACTGTTGCGAAGCCACCTCCGAAATCCCGCCGCTGACCTCCACTGTTGCGAACGACGGACCGATCCCGCCGAAGCCACCACTGTTGCGAACGAGGGGCCTGTCCCGCCGAAGCCACCACTGTTGCGAAAGACGGCGACGCCAACACGGTCCCGGAGGCGCCACTGCTTTCAACTCCGCCGGGAAGGTCACCAGCCGTTTGGTAGCGTATGTTTATCAGCTCGCGACTGCTTCTGCGCAGAGCTGATAAGACGAGCGGACGAGACGACGGTGAGTTAAACAAGGTTTATGTACAGCATATTTACAGAGGCGTTACAATTTCGGCACTGGGGCCGACAGAGACTCGAAGAGCCGAGCTCTTCTCTCTAACACATAGGTCAGTCTTTCGCCTAAGACCGCTGACTCACACACATGTCGGCTCTCCGACATGGGGACCCCTTTCTCTAGGACTGCCGATCGCGACGCGCCGCAGGGCTTCTTTTATTTACACCGGGTCCAACCAAAATGTCCAATCAGAAGCGCCGCTGGTCGTCAGCGCAGATTCTTCCAGTGGGGTTGCCGCGCCATGCGTCAGACCACCAGACACGAGAACGCCGGCTCGCTGTCACGTGCGCCGCTGACTCAATGCACGTGGGCGAGAGAGGCGCCGCGCGTGTTCACGCCGTCGAGGTGATCGCGCTAGGCCGACTGCGGGCTGGCCTTGACCCAGATTGCCTTTTTCAGAGGCACGGTCGTTTGACGAGGACTCGCTGGCATAACAATACCGCTTCGGAATGGGAGATGGCGTCCATAACCTGGCTTCGTGCAGGCCTTTCTTGTTATCGGGAACACGTGATGCGTCAGTGTTCGCGTCTGCGTCGTGTTTCAGGAAGCCTCTGAAGTACTGATCTTTGGCGTCCACGTCACGCTCACGAAACTTTTCACAACTGGGCGACACGTTCCCGAGCAGTCTGGGCACGTAGTTTGGCGAGAACCAAAACAAGATGGCTTTTGATGTGCCGTTTGTACCGCTGCAACACTGGCAGCACACTACTGGACAATCCGGACGCCATAAACTCGTGAAAATCTCTCTTTATATGCTTCTTCTTTTTCGAAACACTTCGTTAAGCCTGGCTTGGCATCAAAGGTAGTTTCGTCACTTCGAGTTTGTAAAATCATTAGGCCTATTGCAACTGACGGGACAATGGAAAGTTGTTTGCCTAATAGGAATATTCGTAAAGTCAGGTTTCGTAAAATCGAATTTCAACCTTACACATGTCAATGCTGCACATTTGAGGGCCTTCTTTTTGCTCATCAGCATTTTCCCTATTTTCCTTAGCACCTGTATATTTCTAAATCTGTAATTTAATAGAATAATAATAATAATAATAATAATAATAATATAATAATAATAATAATAATAATAATAATAATAATAATAATAATAATAATAATAATAATAATAATAATAATACTATTATTATTAATAATGCTTGATGTGTAAATTCTCAAAATCACGATATGATTGTCAGAGACGCCGTAGGGAAGGGCTCCGGAAATTTCGATTTCCGGGGGAGGTTCAGGTCTTGAACGTGTTTGAAAAGTGGCTTTGCTTAAACATTGTGAGCTTAAAGCCTCATGGTCTGTGTCTGAGCCTGAGCCCACGCCGCGCCACATAAAGTCGTGGAAAACCCTATACGGCACAGCAATTGCAATATGGAGGTGTCAGCACAAATAGAATAAGTATATGTCGGCGAAACACAGAGAGCCCATTCGGAAAAGATCAAAAAAAAAAAGCTGGAGCTATCTCGACACCCTAGCAACAGCGCACCTGTGACGTAACCTTGTACCAGCAAGACTAACGTGGGTGTACCCCACGGACGCGCAGAACCACCATTCTTCTCTGGGTATACTACCTAATTGAGCCAAAATAATGTCACAAATTGAGTGAGTGTGGCGAATGAATGCCAGAGCATTATCAGTAAGCAAACCCACCATTGCGTCTGCGTGTCAAATACCCAAACGAGAAGAGGTTCTTCAGCTAACATGCTCCACGTTCATTAAATCAGCAGCAAGGTAAGCGCGGTGCAGGTAATGTTTAATATACCAGCAATACTCTTAGCGGCGTTGTCCTTCGCATAATGCAAGAAGTTATGGTTGTAGGACATAAATGACGCATCGTAGATGGAACTAGTGGTTTCGAAGCCGTCAACAGATGTTACAATAATAATGATATTAACTGTTTACGTTCCCAAACCACGATACAATTATGGGAGACGCCGCAGCAGACGCCTCCGGAATTTTTTTTTTCTGCCCGGAGATTTTCAAAGAGCACCTCTTCTAAGCACATGTACCTCTGTCGTTTCACCTTGACAGAAATGCTTCGGGCGGACACCGGAATTCACTGTTCAATAACATTCGAATATTCATGGTCTCCCCTCAAAGGCCACCCTAGCCTCTAAGACTAGCTGCGATGTGTTAATCAGGTACGGATGCCCTACAAAACGGTAAACTGTACACGTAAGACAAAAATTGAACTTGTGGAAATTCAAGGCTATCATTCAACGTATAAGTCCTCACTCGCGTAATGCGAATCTTTACGTTCAGCACCCCTGAAACCAAGCCACACTTTAGCTTCAAGGTGCGCACTATCTCGTGACGTCATTTGCCTACATCGATCCTGCAACATCGGAAGCCGAGAGCACGCAACAAGGTGCAAAAGTTGTTTCGCAAGGGATTGTCATCCAATGGCGTACATCTGCTCGTTCAAACGTACCCGTGCCTCACTAAACTGGAATACGGAAGTTTTTCATGCATATTTATCGGCATATTTGCATCAACGTTGGCGGTGCGCACCCCAATTTCCACAAACGCAAAACTAGAAAAAAACCAAGGAGGCACCAGTTCGACACAAGCATCAAGACATAATGCAATTGATTGATTGATTGATTGACATGTGGGATTTAACTTCCCAAAACCACCATAAAATTATGAGCGACGTCGTAGTGGAGGGCTCTTAAAATTTTGACCACCTAACGTTTTTTAACGTGTGCCCATATCTGAGCACACGAGCCTACAGCATTTTCGTCTCCATCGAAAATTCAGCCGCCACAGCCGAGATTCGATCCCGTGACCTGCGGGTCAGCAGCCGAGTGCTTCAGCCAATGTATGTTCTACGCAAGCAAAAAAAAAAAAGCACTTGGCAATTTACTCGTTCGCAGCATAAGGCTTCAAAGTAAATCCGAAAAGCTTCTTATCTTAAAAAAAAAAAGGATACTTCCCGAACCAGAATTGTTTCCTCACAAAACAAAAACATTTCCTCATAAATCCGGTATAGACTTTTCTTGCAGTTTCGTACTACAAATGAATAGCTAAAAGCGTTTTGTGTTACAAACATTCCTTTAACATTCGGAGTTTCTCAAAACGGATTTGACATCTCCAATACAGAAAGAAAAAATACTGTGCAACCTACATGAACTTATGCGAAGATGGTCACTTCTCATCGATCAACTTACTCACTAAATAAAACAGGACAAGACGATTCTTGACATAAGCATTGTTCTGAGCCACAGTGGTGATGAGGCTATTGTAATAGTAGCCACAAACAACTGCTCTATAAAGAGTGGCCGCCACACAAGACAAGAGATAGCGGTCACTCTGAGTGTACGGGGATGACAGCCAAACTTCCCACCTTTAACAGAGCATCCCCGATGGCAGCGTCGATGCGGGTAGAGTTGAGCCGGCGCTCGAACTTGAGCAGCTTGGCCACTTTCATCGCGGTTGGTTCGAGCAGTCTGGGTCGGAATCGAAGTGACTGCAGCTGTATGGGACCGATGGGCACCGACCGCAGGGCTGTGACCAGGGGCATCTTGTCGCCGACCATTGTCGGCGCCAGCGCGACACGAGAACGTGCGAGGGCGCGGGCCCACCCGTTGCGGGGTCGGGCACGCGCGGCGTTTCAAAAGCGAGAAACGTCCCGGTCTCCGAAAACGCGAGAACGTCGCGTCGTACACCGACGGGCGGCGGTGAAGTTGCGCTGTTCCGCCGTGCACTTCTCTGCTCGGAGCTCGCACTTCCACGTCGCGATGACGCCCGAGAGGAGACGAGAAAGAGGAGGAGGTGATGGGAGAAGAGAAGGGGGAGAGCCCCCTGGATACGAGAATAGCGACGTCAGAGACGCGCGTGCGCTAGTGGAGGAGCGGGATAGAGGGGGAGAGAGGAAATGGGAAGTGGAACAGACGGAAGAGAAGCGAGCCGTATTGTCCCTTGCGCTCTCGCCCGTTGATGTTTGAAGGTATTCCATACGTTCTATTTCTCTCATTCCCTTCCTATCTCTTGTACAGTTTTTTGTTTTTCGCTAGAGGGAAGAAGGGATACTTATCATCCATCATTTCGGCTGCAGGTGATGCGGGTGGAAAAGAGGTTGCTGCTGCTCGAACAAACTGCTCCTTAAGGACTAGTAGTGGGGTGCGAAAACAGTGACTAATGATCACGCATCCAGGTGAAGCTTTTCAATTTACGCAATTTTACATAGAGGCGCCCTAAAATCGTGGTAATTTAGCTTTTGATAAATTGGGGCACTCATTCACGACATTATGTGGTAGAAGTTTCCTTTATTTATAGGGAGCTGCTGAAATAGGCCGAAATTGTGACTTTATAAAATGAAACCGGTCCCTTGAAGGTTCACGGGCGAAGTTTGCACGACTGAGTCTTGATGTTTGTGGTGGTACAGCGTTTTCATTTTTGAATACCAGATTCTTTGTTTGCAAGAATACTAGAGCGAACTGACTAACCGACCTACTGAGCGAACGACTTACCAAATTGAATGACTGTGAGAGAAAGAGAGGGCTAGGAAAGCGAGAGAGTGAGAATTCCTGCACAAGGGGAAACAGCAATGTTAGCGACACGTGCGCACAAGTACGTGATAAAAGGGGAGGGATTGAGCAATTGAGAAAACGAAAAAAAAAATGAAGGGAAAGCGACTCATAATGCCCGTTTCTCTCTCACGCGTCGATGCTTGTAGGTGTTTCAGACTTTTTCTACCAATCGTCGGAAGGGGAAACGTTGTACCTCATTTTCTATTCATCATAGGTGTTGCAGGTAAACGGTTGGAAAAGGGGTTGCTGCCGCTAGGCCAAGTTGCTCCTTAACGACTGGCACTTGTGTGCGGAATGATTGATTGGCAAAGTTTGCGCAATCAGTCGGCTCTTCTTCAGACCGCAGAACCCGTATTATTGGTATAAGAACTATATATTAGAAGCTCCTTTGTTGGCACAGTGATTAAGATCAATTAATCAATGAATGATAGACCGTCTGAAAGATTCACGTATTTATGGTATGATTGATTATATGAATAGTTCAAGAAATAATGGGGATACCTAACTTCATGCAGTGATTGCTGGAATAAATCGTGCGATTACCGTGATAGGACGGGCCATCTCACTCACTCACTCACTCACTCACTCACAATCTTAACCCGGTAAGATCCACCAAAGGAAAGTAAGACAAAAATTGAATCACACAAACGACGATAGTGCCGTCAGTGATGCGCGCAGTAGCAAAGAAAAATTGCAGGATAGGGGGAGATGTAGGTAGATGTATGCCATATTATTACAACCCCAAGTCATTTAGAAGCCGGTTATTTTTCTACTACTTTTGTATTCTTCTCACATCGGCGATGTTATATGTGAACTAGAATATATCTTGTTCCTCCTGATGACTTTAAGAAGACAAGGATAGCTTTTCTTTATTTCCTTAATATTGCAAGAACGTTCTCGTTATGTTTGCTTAATATCAAAAGGCGATCCTCTTCATATCAATGCGAGCTGAGGTTTTCCTTTTAACTCGCACTTCTCTAACGCACCTGTTGATTGAAAAATACAGCATTTACTCGGAATAAAAACCTTTCGGGAATAACAAAAGCTCTCGTAATGAGATGTCAGGAAAAGTAGCCCACGCAGGCTCACTTTCGTGTGCTTTGAGTTCGTTGCTTTTGCTGCAGATACTGGTGCATAACTCAATTATCTGTGTGTTTAGAAAAAGTGGGTAACAATTTAGAGTACTAAGTACTCTACTATGGGAGAAATAGCATCTCAAACAAGATGAACGATGAGGGTTACCGAATAGCCCGCTGATTTTATACAACTTCTTTCCATTATTTCGCAAAACATATTCAAATAAATGTTCTTTTGAGCTGCATGAGAACTACAAGAGATCGCTTTAAATGTCACGCACATTTTTATCTGAAAAACTAATAAGAAACTTCTCTTGTTATTGAAAAAAAACGTGAAAACGACCTTTCATTTTCCACGTTACGAGTTCGTAAATGAAATGACCGAAAGTTTTTTTTTTCTGGGTGGGGGGGGGGGGGGGCAACGCTTGCAATCTTGAAACTGTCTATAGAACAGGTTAGTCCTTTGGTACGTCCTTCTGGACAGAGATAAAATCTGCACACTGTAAAGATGATGGAATGAAACGCAGTGTATGAAAGAGAAACTGAAAATGAATAGTGCGCGTTCTTTTCATCGTTATCAGGGTTTTCGGTTGCGTTGGTGTTCCCAGATACGTATCCGCAGTCGTTGCACCGTTCACTTTATATGTAGCTAGAATAGAAGGTTTGATGGGTATATAACGTCTTGACTCCCAAGAGAGGAAGACAGAAAGAAAAGACATCAGTAAGGAAAAGAGAAAGAAGGAAAGAAAGAACGAACGAAAGAAAGAAAGAAAGAAAGAAAGAAAGAAAGAAAGAAAGAAAGAAAGAAAGAAAGAAAGAAAGAAAGAAAGAAAGAAAGAAAGAAAGAGCGAACTGTGGGCGAATCTTTCAGAGTGGATGAATTTCAAATATGTGCCCTCGAATTGCAAATTCTGTCGGCTGTTAAAGCGTCTAATGGCACAGTGTCAGCAGAATTTCGATTAGTTCCCGCGGATCCTACTCTGATTATTCCAGTTAATCTTTTATGTTCTGGGAGAACAAACATGCAAATTTTTTAATGACCTTTCAAATCGAAAACATTGGAGCTCACATGCTCTGTCAGGTAGGTCACCTGCAATGGCAATGTGTGTGAAAAAAAAACGTTTTCTTGAAAGCAGCCATAATTTTTGCTTGAGCAAGCAGACAAACAGACTATAGATGCCCACCGTGATGGAACGTTGCTGCCATCTAATTTTCGAACTAGCAAGTCTGTCACAGAACCATTCGCGCTTGCAAGCAACGTGTTAGTCAACTAACTGACTGAATTTCAGTTGAAAAGGCACTGCTGTTCACGTCTGATTTTGAATCTACTAACTGAGTAAAATATATATGGCTTGCGCTAATGCTGAGCAGTACGTCAGTAAAAAAATTATGTAGGGGTGTCTTATTTGGGTCACTTTAGCCAATCGTGCGCGCGTGCGTGCATGAATGCCTTACTGTTCAGTTCACTTTATGTTTTCACACCTTTAGAGCAGTAAAACGCATTGAAGTTCATAGCAGTGGGTAGTTAAGTCGAACTTGCTTCAGTTCGTATGAATTTATTTCAGTTCATAGCTGGCAAGGTAGTTCAGATCATTTACATCAAGCTTACTAAAGACCCGCAGATCGGCTTATTGCATGAACTGGCTTGATGACGCTAAATGTTGATGATGCTAGGATACTTACGTCGGAAATTTTGTAACTTTGATCTTTCGTTGAGATTCTCGCACGTATAAAACACCCATTGAATCTAAGTTGGAGTACAGTACGCTGGACTGAGACCCTAATTATGAAAACTTAATTACTACTGTAGGGATGGTCGTGAAACAATCGCAGCATATCCACGCAGTGAATGACGATGAGTGGGGCGAGCTCGACCTGTGGGTATGTTGAGCCCTGGCTGTTGGGTCTCTTCTTATAAACACTCATTTACAAAGCCTTCGAGATTCCGGATTGGTTCTGCTTCTGTGTTCTTGGTTACGGTGGCATGCAGGTGGTCAAATGTATAAGCTCGTGAGTACTTGACTGAGCGCATTCCTACGTTTCCGAGCTAACATGTAGTATGGGGTGATGTAAAAAAAAAAAAAAAAAACGTTGGTGACTATGTAAAGCACCATGATGTAAAAACATCGCCACATTTTCACCTAACAAAACATAGGCTGATAGACAATGTGTCGAGTGGTAATTGAATTACAAACACATTTCGATGACCAATTATTAGACGGTTATCCTTTTATTTTTTCAAAGTGTATTCAACTTTTGACTCTCTTCATGCAATTCCCTTCTGCCTATAGCTTGCGAAGCCATCTGACAGTTTAAAATAAAAAAATAAAAATAAATTAATAATTAGTCAGTCTACCCGCCAGCACATTTGAACAATACTGCTCGAGGTTTCACGTGGCAAAATACCATATACGTATGAGACGCGCCACATTGTGGTACACCAGGAATATTCCGCCCATCTATAGGTTTTTAACCGTGCACCTATATCTAAGCACACAGGCCATGTTTCTGTTTCAACCTCATATAAATGCGGCTGCTGGAGTCGGCAGCTAAACCAACGCCCTTCGGCTTAACGTCGAGACGGCCTGTGTGCTAAGGTACTATGGCTGGTACGGCTGTTGTGGTGCCATAGCATATTCGTAGATAAATAAGATCCTAATAACCTAACAGTTCATTTTGCATGGTGTCTTACGTCTCAAAACCGCGGTATGGTTGCGACTGATGCCTTGTGGAATCGGAAGTTTCGACCACCTGTCGGGCATCTAAATCTACGAACATGGACCTCGAACATCTTTCCTGCATCCAAATGTGGCTGCCGAGACAGGGACTCGATCATGCCGTAGCTTAACAGAAGATTTATATAAAGTTATAGCAGATCAGCAAGATCTGTTTTGTGTGGCGACGCATTTTGTTATTCTACTAAACATTTA